TCTGTCACGATGGCCTCCGTCAGCGTTTCGCCAAACGGAAGCTCCAACTTCTCCGCCTTCGCATCCACATCACCCACATCAACACCGCCCTCGTGATAGAAGAGGATCTCGTCGTGATAACGGTGGGACAGCATGCAAATGTAGTGTTCCTGCTCCTGCTTGTGGAGCACGAAGGGCTCGACCAAGAAGTGGTTCAACTGCCCGGTGACGTGCTCCACTTGCTGCTCCTTGCACATACGATCCATCACCCACTGCTTCGCCTCGTCGAAGGTTTTGTTCACAGCGATCAGGCCTGCCTTGCCACGGCGCTTGATGAGCTGGTCCGGCTTGGCCACCAAGTTAGTCGTCTTCAGCCATGGGTTCGCCTGCAGAATGCTGTCCCAGGTCTGGCTCCCAGTGCTGTCCAGCACCGCGGGAGTCACCAGAACACCTGCGCACCCCATCTTGTGCTTGCCGCCGGAGACCTCTGGCAAGTACTTCTCCAGAAGGCTCTTCCCCGCATGCTCTCGGATGGGCTTCACCGACATGTCTGGAGACGATGCGGGAGGATGATGCTATGTTGCTGGCTACAAAAGTGCTGAGTCGCGGATGTACCATAGATGACAAGGGCAGCAGATTCCGAAAGACCCACATTTTCACACTAGCAGCACAAGACAAGGAACACACTCGACAGTGCTTGTTCTTCCAAGTAAGGCCCAAGGGCTCACTTCGGCCTTGTAGAGAACGAGAGCTCTCTCCTCGCCCATCTTTCTCAACTCTCTGGCCATTTCCAGAGATTTGCTCAAGGCAGTTTCGTGGCCTGCCACCGAGGCCTTCCACTGACCTCTCTTGTGAACTCTGGAAAAGGGCCTTGCGGAGCACACCCTCCAGAACCAGCAATGCCGAAGCAGTGCTGTCTGTACCTTTCCAGGCTCAGTGGCATGACAACTCCAGAGGCTGTCTTGTGAACGACGACAACCCGTAACCCGCTAGTCGGGGTCCAACTCTGCGCAGGCAGGGGGTGGATGTTACAGCCACCATGCAGGTGTCGAGAAGACAGCATTTCACGGCATCATCCCGACTGCTTCGATGACTGATTTCAAGCAGTCCGAAGACATGTGCTGAAGGTGCGAAAGTCCTTGCTGAGTACTTGACACGGCACGCAACTGCTCGTCCATGAGAACAGTGTAAGCCTTTTTCGGATTCACAAGAAACGTGAAGGAAAGCGGGAGCAGGCAAGAGCGGACACTCAACACACGCAAACCCGGGTCAAAGCCTGCTTCAGTTTGGTGAAACCTGCCACGCCATCGGTCATTAGCAGTGTGATCTGGCTAGCCGTTTCAGAGGCCGTGACTGCAACGAAGTTGGAGACATGTCACTCAGCTGCAGCGCTTTTTTGCCGACGATGCTGCTCACACGGTAAACCAAGCCATCCCGAAATGTGGCAGCGGCACGAGCACGGTCCGCATCCGTGGGTTCTCGACCAAGTTTGTCTGGGTGTACGAAGGTCGCCTCAGCTTCAGCTATGAACAAGGAAGCCGAATTGCTACCCGGTTGAGCCCTTCTGAGCCCCGGTACCATCTTATGATAAGACTTTCGCACCTGTGAGGAGTCAAACTTGTTCATGTCCACCTGACGAAAGCTTGCCAGCAGGTCTGGATGCTCGCAGGCTGTGATGCACGATCAGCTTTCCAAGCTGGAAACCTCAAACATCTTGAAGAGGTCGGTTCCGTTTTCCAAGCACTGGACCTGGCACCGGATCTCTCGGCGGCAGATTGCGTGGGGAAGGGGAGATTCACTTCGCGAAGAGCGGATGAGAGTACACGCAAATCGCGCCTGCTTGGGCACTGGTCGACTATCCTCACCTTGGTTGGGAATGACCTGGCCGGAACAGCTACGTTCTCATCCAACGGCATTGCAGCGAGAAATCTGCCACAAGCTGTGCCCAATCATCACCGAGTGGCTATAGGCATCAGAGGGTCTAGGGCTTCCTTGCCCACTTTGCCCACCTGGTGGCACAGCAGGTAAATAATTAGAAAACCTCTATGACTTGACTAAAGGTATCGTCGTTGAATGTGACAGCAGTGTTTCAATCAATCAGCATTTAATTTACTGCATGCGTCGTCCAGAGAGGATGATGTTGGGAACTCTGGCCACTAAACCTCTCAAAACCTTGCAACTTGCCAACCCAGCCCGTGGTTTGACAAACTCGACGGTGACCGAGGGTCTAGACGAAGCACACGGAAGCCACAAGAAAAGAAGACGCAGTCAGATTGCAAACCCAGGAAGTATCTTGGAGCATAGTCTGCCTGTTCGCCTCGCTTGGATCTCAACATCATAAAAATAGCATATCTTTTCCGGTGACGCTGCTGTGGAACTTCTAGCTACGATGACGCGTCAACTGGCATCCAAGCCCCTGGTGACTCTGATACCGAACAGCTTGCTTGACTTCCGGCACCGATCCTCGGCGACTTCGCCCTCTGGTTTTGCAGCAGCCTCATTGGCCTCAGAAGGCTGCAGGATGACAAACGTTGATCATCAAGTTTGCCAAGTTTAAGTTGGGAGGTGGATGCCCGGACATACACGGCTTGATTCAGTTCTGATCTTCATCGGGTCATCTCGCTTCTCCAACTGACAGGCCCACGAGTCTTTTCGTTTTGTTCCTATTGTTGTTCGAAGGTGGCTGCCGAGTGAACAACAGGCAGATCTGCAGGATCTGCAGTTTGGGCTTGGTTTCGTGCTGCAGGTTTTATACGGGTGTCATGAGGATCTCATAAAGCTTTAGGAGCCTGTTACAAGGGTTCCAGGGCCCCGAGCAGGGACCCTCGTGGAGGCTCGCGATCATTGACTCGCATGACCAACCCCCGTGAAGCTGAACTGACAAACAAGAAATCCCCCCTGTCACATGCAAACACGTTTTGCGTCTTGATACTTTTACAAATCGCCCTCTCTACATCAAAATAAACACGGGGGCCTCTGCTGCTTCGGTGGATCGCCCCACATCCTCACTACCTCGGCCACAAAAAGCGGATGAGGGAGTTGTGTCAGCTCAGGGCTTTGCTGTGGGGGTTCGGCATGTCAAAGATCTTTAGGTCTGCAGACTTTTCCGAAGCATGGAAGCTCAAGATGCGTTCCAGGAGCTTGGAGGCGCAGCTGCCGCTGCCATCTTTCCCAGACCCAGCAACTGCAAATCGACATCGGTTGAGCCGAAACGATGAAGCCCCAAGTCGTTCAGTCACGCCCATGCCCAGATATGCCCAGCACCTGCCAGACCCCACTTGGTTGGGTAGTGCATGTGACTGCCACTTTGTCAGCCCCTGGCTGATGTCATGTCAACAAATCTTCCGGCATGGTCCCAACGATGGCTTGGAGGATCCGTGTGGAACTACCTGGCATGCACCGAGCCGGAGCCTCCGCAACTTTTTGCTCGCGCAAGCTTTGGAAGACCTGTGCCTGGCAGCGCTTGAACGTCAATACCCTGCCTATGCCGTATGTATGAAGAATTCATCAGGCCATGCTTTCTTCGAAGCAAGCACCCAGTTTGTTGAAAAATCGCGTTCCACAGAAATCTATGAAAGCATGACCTTGGCTTTCGTGTGCAAGAAACTCCATGGAAAAGGTGGAAAAAGGACTTGACGGCCCGACGTCTCGGCTTTCGTTGATTGTACACTTGGGGTTCCGGAGGTTTTGAATGGCCGCACAAAGCTTTTTGTAAACTTGACTTGGCTAAGTATAGCCCGGAAACCGTATCTGCATGATTCTACATAACACCCTTCTTGCCCTAATCAGTCGAACCATGCCAAGCTGGAAGCCAACGGTGCTTGCAGCCGCGGCTGCTCCCTTCGCGGCATGGCGCGCAGTGCGAGGCGTGCTCACGCCCTACCCAAGCCCTGCACACCAATCACGCGGCATCCGCCAAGTCACGGGAAAGTCAGACATCGGCCGCTAATCAAAACTGGTCGCAAACAACATCCAATCAAAGCTCCGTCGTGTGGGCCAAGTCCTGGGAAAACCGCATGGATACATCGTCGCTTCCCAGAGAGATCACAAACGAGGCTCAGGCATCACTCCGGCCCCTGGCCTGCAAGCTCCTGGGCCGAGCATCTCTCAGCAACTTTAGAGTCTCCCCTGCGCCCAACCAAAAAAGATGTCCTGGATGTACGTGATGTCATCCCAAGGATGGCGGTACAGCGGCTGCTTCAACCTTGGTACTGCAACCTCTTGGTCTGCTACCGAAACAACCTCATTGAGGATGCAGCCGCAGCTGATCCAGGTAGTGTCCGATGAAGCCGATCGATCGGCCTTCTCGAAACACCCCATCACAACGAACAAGCCCCAAGCGAGACGAACGCGAATTTCCGGCCTAGCACAAAAAGCCCGTTCAGGCAACCAAAAGCCATCAAATCGTCGCACTCTTCCTGCGAACCAGCGCAGGAGCAAGAAGCAGCAGGCATTCCGATGCCGAAGCTTCGACCGCTGCGGTCCTTTGAGAATGCACCGCAGGATCGGATCATGTCCACAAACGACCTTTCAGCTTTCAGAAGACTCCGGTAATGCCGCCGACTCACTGCAGTACGACTCGCTCCAGGGCGCAGAATGGCTCAGCTGCGCATGACATGTTTGTCAACAGATACGATTTCGGCAAGCAATATGCAGGCCCGCAATACCTCAGAACACATGACTCGAAGTGAAGATGCACTTGGCTATACTATGATTGCCCAGTTCCAGCTACATTTTCTGGAGCAGGGGATGGGACACGGCGATGCAGCCGTCGACGTTGAGGATCAAGTTGGCCCTCTTGCGAGTCGTGATCTGCTCCTTGAGAATCAAATTGAACCACTCTACTACGTTCCGGATTCAAACATTCCGCAGGTTTGTGGATACCCTGAAGCTTGTGCAGAAAGCATTGCTGACGCAACCTTGGTGTATAGACTCTATAGAAGCTCAGCATCCACTGCCAGAGCATAGTCAAGAACGGGCGTTGAGTTGAAGTTCTTCTTGGCGAAACCCTTGATGATCTCCACCTGGCATGCCACTTGATGCGAGAACTCCTTCGGAGACTGGACTTGGAGCCCCGACTCGCTGGTCAGGATTCGCCAGGGACTTGATCCTGTGCCCGATGCCCATGATGAGCTGGTTGCTCTTCTTCATCTTCTCGATCCAATCCTACAAGTAGCCCGGAAAGCGATGCTAAAGAAGAAACGAAATAGGCTGCCGGGGCCAACCCGCCTTGGGCGCCACTCCGCTGCCCTGTGCATCTGCGAACCTGAACCAGAAGAGTGAAGGCAAAGATGATCCCAACTCAGAGAAATTCCTCACTGTGAGAATGCCGGCTTAGCAGCATTCTGGCCGCATCATCCAGTGCGCCACCGAAGCGAGGCCCAATCGTCAGCAGGCCGCTGCAAAGAGAGGACACGAGATCCTTGCCTGGCGTGGGACCGCGATCCACTCTGTGCGTGGACTGTTGCTTACGGTGGGCCTGCGCGGGCTGTGACGATGGTGTTATGTGCACCACTCACCGCTGGACCATGGTCGGCTGTGACCATGAGAATCATCTCGATGAACTTCGTTGCGTAAGCCTTAGTGGCAGAACCACTCGCGCGAATCTGACTTATCTGAAGTTCAGGCTAGGCTTGACAACCACATCCATGCCATTTAATGTATCGGCTTCTCGCATTGTCACTGTGTAGAGTTAAACACTCCTTCCCACTCCCTCCCATGTCGGCCGGGGTATCCCGAGCTAGGCGAGAGCTCGCAGTCAAACGAGAAATCTTCGGATTTACAGTCATTTCGAACTTTCCGCGCTTGCCATGTTCATTCGCCTTGTCCTGACCAGGGTCCGCTGTGGCAAAACACCGCAGTAGCTCTATCAAATCTATTACCTCGCGGTGTCGCGCTTGCTCGCTCTTTTCTGGTTGCTCGGGAGGAACAAGAGACATGGTTCCGTTGCGTGGGCACCGGGTTGGCTTTTGAGACTGGCCGGGCAGCAGGACCGATGTCTTCGATGCCTCCGCTCCAAGTCTACCCTGTCACTCAGTTGCTCAATGTCCCATTTTTGTCTCTTCGTTATATATGATATTGGCGCATAAGGCATACCTCGCTGTCGGTGCCGAGCAAATGCAAGCTTCCTTCTTCCTTCCCTCCCTCCCTCCCTCCCTCCCTCTGTCCGTCCGTCCGTCCTTCCTTCCTTCCCTCCTTCTGTCAGGTCGGAGGCAGTCGTCACCCATGTGCCCTGGCCCGTGCACTCGAGTCGAGTGTTTCTGCAAGTGCAAGCCGTCTTTCTTTCGGAGGGCAAGAGCTAGGCAGGGCATGGTTTGTTTTTCTTCTCTCTGTCTCTTTTCTTGCTTTCTCGTTTCTCTAGGGCTCAAGGGCAGTTATCCTGAAGACAGGACCATGAGGAAAACACGTCTTCCTCCCACTTCAGTATGCCTTCCTGTCGGTCTTCGCCGGATGCGGGGTTCACAGGAGGACCGCTCGGATTTGCGCAAATGATGAACGGTTCTTCGCCCTGTCCAGTTGGCTCACAGGCTAAGGACAGGCATAACGGGCGAGTTGCCTCCCGGCATCAAGCCCGCCCGCTTCTTGAGGACCATTGGAGGGGTGTGAAAATGGGAACGTCATTCCCCGGTGCGAAGAAGTATATGAAGGCACTTCCTGCATCATGATCACACACGGGAACAACATGTCCCCCGTAGGGTAAGGACACTTACAGCAGCATGTGTGTAGATGCAAAATAGATGATCGAGGAACAAATCCACGTGCTAATCAGCTGGTCGAAGAACAACAGATTCGCAGCAAAACCTATGCCCCCGACACAACATCAGATCACCAAGCAACCACACACGTTTCGAAACTTCCTTCTTCTTTGAGCTTTTAGTCCGGCCTGGCTTTGCATATTGAGAGTTGTTCTTTTTGCTTATCGCTCTCACTCTTCCGGGATCTCTTTCGGGTTTTTGGTCACACTCTTCGCGGC